AAAAAAGTGACTGCATTTGGCTTGTTTGGTTATGAAATATCATCCCCAAAATCATTAATTTAGAACTAGCTGGTTTCAGTTTATAGAAATTTGGAATTGGGTTTGGAATTTTTGATCCCTTTTTAAATACTTGATAAAGAAACTACCATTTGTCTAACATCAAAGCCATGCATTATTCTCTCTCTTGCACTCAGAAGGTAAAGGGCTTGGTTTTTTGGCTATGCAAAAGACCTTGTTTATAAATGAAAGAATAACAGAAATGAAAATATTCATAAATACATATCAGTGCTATCGAAGGATGACCTTTTCTTTTTTTTTTTTTTTTTTTTTAAATAACAGCCAGTCTTAAGAAACATAGTCAGCTTGGCTGAATGTTTTTTCCCAGGATAGCATTTCCTCTCTTGGAGGAAGGGTGCTTCAGTCACATCTCTATTTAACTGTCTGCCCCTCATCCTCCCCACCCAGCCTGCTGATCTGTGTTTCCAAATATACCCTTAATTATGTGTATGAAAATGTAGAAATACAAGAATAGCACACAGTGGCATGTTCGGGTTTCTAGTCTGTTTTCATAACAACATACAATACTGTTCTGCAAAGCAGCAAAACAGATTAAAGATCACAGAAAATTGTTTCTGGCTTACTGTTTCTGGTTTTGCAGGCACTCATGGAATTCCCAAGATACAAATTTCTTTATTACTGCATGGCCTTGGCATATGCTTAAAGATGCTAACATATCGTGCAGAGCTACTTACTACATGAGTTAAATTGAAAAAATAGCACCCAATACGTGGTTTGACTTAGTAGTACAAATACAGAATAATACAAAGGACCTTTATATAATATCATAGGGATAGGCTGGCTTTACTTGCTTCTGAAGCCCTTGCAGCAAGAGAGGAGAGAGATGTGTATTTTTAATGCTGTTTCTGTAGTGCAGGCAGTTCTGTGGCTCCTGTGGCAGACAATATGAGCAGCACGAGTCGCTGGGTCTGTGCCACTGAAATGAATCAAAGGCAGCACACCTGCAGATCTCACGCACTTCTACTCACTGAGCACTGCAAGCTGCTTAATGCAGCTTTACACACTTTTTTTTTTTTCTTTGGACTGGGTGGAGTTCAGGAAGAAGCCAAAAATGTTCTTACTTGTGTAATCTTCAGTTAAGATCAGTTGAATTTAACTCTCAAATGTGATGTTTTTCCATCAGCTTGTGTAATTCTAAACACAAGTTATGTTGTCATGTGCTCTGGCAGAGCTACAAAGGTTACAGTTCAGTGGGATTTGGAACATGGAATTCCAAACCTATTTAAAATTGTAAAAAAAATTTAAAAATTTACAATATTTGTTATCTTTTAAAGGCATCTCTTGCCTGCCTCTCTGAAGAGTATAGAAGCCTGAGCTGCTTTTTGATTCCTTTATTTTCAAGCTTCCTTATCTTTTGGGGCTCTTTGAGACCCTCTAATAATGCTCATAATGCACACTGCCACTGCCAAGGCATAGTGTTCAGACTCAATATGTATACAATGTTACAATATATACATTCACACCCTTGATGTTTCCTGCTGTATTTAAGATATTTGACAACATTTCCACAGTAATTTACAAGATCAAATTCTGCAGTCATCGTGTAAAGGTAAATTTCTGACTTCAGCATTGCCTAAGATGGAGCTCAAAATCTTTGTTGTGTTGTGTACAACCACTTTCATGGTGAAAGCTCTTTGTTGAGTACAGCGTGTCCACGGGTTACTGCTTATGCAAGACAGTTGTACTGTGGCTGCATGTTCCCTAATGAGATTAAGCAATCAATTCATATAATCTTTCACTCTGTCGATTCCTTTATGGCTGGTTAAAGGACATTTATATAACTTACCTGCACAGAAAACCACATCCCTTCTGTTTGAGAGATGAGACTGATGACAGACTGTGAATTTCCATGTGTGGTTTTGGAGCAGCAGCTAGGTCTTGTCTTAATTAACACCCCGCAGCAACTTTGTTCCAGACTGTGTACTGATTTTTTATGAACAATAATGACTCTCGTATCTTCACACAAGGCATCCAGCATTTCCTCACAATACAGCTTTTCTTTGAGGAGGTATTGCTAAACCTCAACAAAGCTGAGAAGCACTCTAGAGAACTTAGTAATATTAGTAGAATGATGCCAGCTGTCAGAGAATGCATGGAGGACAAAACCACTTCCCCAAGAAACTTAAAGGCAACTACCAAGAAGATATCAAATCAAGGCTAGAGAGGACTGAGGCAGTGAAATAGCTCCTAGAAAGGAGGAGAGTAGGGGACAGTAGAGAAATAGTAGAAGAAAGGCCACATATTCTTTGGCTCAGTGCATAACTCGCCACCACCATCACCAACATCATCAAATCAGGCAAGTGAGTAGGAACCTGAATGTTCTCCTCCAGATCTGATGTGCAGTGAGGAGAGGGGGAGATGAGTTGTGCAATGCCTCCATGACTGTTAGTGCTGGATAACACAGGTCTTACGCAATCCCACTCCAGAACCTCTTCTCGCGTTAGGCACTGGAGTGTCGTGCCTGCTGCACCAAATGCTAACACAGAAAAGAGCAGCTGATGCCAATCAGCAGAAAAGGTGCCATTTTCTTTCTGCTTCATGGCGTTGCCAACAGCAGAAGCAAAACATTGCATGTCAGCTCTTGCCTTCCTAGTCTGAAAGCAGTCTTTGCATGGGGCATGGGGCCCAGTGCATGGGGCACCGAAGAACATTTGCTGACACCATTTGTAATGAAAACACAGAGAAAATAAACTTGGGCAATAGAAATATCCAAAGGCCATTGCTTACCAAAAAATGATGTCATAGCTCAGGAATGAGAAACTTTGATTCTTCATGCCAGATCAGCTCTCAGATGCTGTCTCATTGCCCTTCTTCCCAATGGTCCCAGAGTCCTCATGGAAGTATATCTGTTGAATGACCAAAAACACAGGGAGAAGACTCGTGAATCTGGTCACATAAGAGGGAAGACCAGCATGTCCCACTGCAGGCGGGAGCATGTCTAACAACAGATGACTGGATACATGACAAACAGCAGTCTGAGAGATGAGTCCCTGGCAGTTTGCAGGAGAAGGCTGAGGAGGACATTGAATGGATTTATGTGGGGTTTTTTAAGTGACAAAACTATATCCATTAAAGCAGTTGTTGGTGGTTTTATTCTTAAAAAAGGTTGTGCTGTCCCATGCTTTTTAGGCTTTAGTTCAAGGGAAGCCAACTGAAAGCAGTCCTGTTCATCTTAGCTGCCTTTGCAGATGGCTTAGGAGGTGGTGTTCATGGCACTCCATAGGAAAATCTCCCTTGTGTACTGTACAGACACAGCCATTGCATTATGCACTCTAATAGGTGTAACTAATGAAATCCGCAAAATGTACTCGAGAACAATAGGTCAAATGAGCCTTGGTCTTTCTCCTAAATAATCAAGGCAACATCAGGGACACTTCCTTTCTCCACGTTCTTGAACAAAATCCTATTTAAAAAGGAATTGACTGTCTGTTCATTGAGAGACTATTTGAGATTCGGCTGAAGTAACTTGGAAGCTTCATAAACAGAAGGAAAAAGAACCTACAAATCTCTTTTTCTGAGCAGAAGACTCCTAAGTAGATTCTGGAGATAAATGTTATGGCAAAATCTGTGAATTTAAAATAGATTATTGGCTGCCTAGATTGAAGGCTGGCTGGGGTCAGTTTTGCTATCAGACAGTTTTAATTAAGGTGTATTGAATTTCTCCAGGAGGCTAATTTATTTATTTACTTCCTATTTGGTATAGAGTGTGAAGACATTTTATTTCTTATTTTGGCACAGAATTTTTTGAGCTCTCTGAGCCTCTGGTACTGGCTATTCAGCATTAGAAAGATTAAGGTTAGTGCAAGTAGGAAGTTATAAAAATTACAACTACAAAAAATGCTAACTGTGTATTCAAAAAAGAATAAGATGTTTTAGATTAATAAAGAATATGTGATGTCCAGACTCAGTAAGAACCAAAGCACTATACAGAAGTAGCAGACAGCACGTTTCATGATTTGATGTTTTTATTTTAAACAAACAGAGAAACTAAGAATGGAAATTGATAGTCGGAGTTGCCCAAGGCTCTGCAGCACACCAGGACCTGTTCCAGACACCCTCTGCCCAGCAGAGCTCCTTCTGTCTGTGACTAGTGCTCGAGGTGCTCGGGCTGCACATTGGCCACAGTGCCCAGGTGCAGACCCCAGCACAGCCACGGGCATCTGGCCCTGTCCCAGACGTCTCCCGTGCCTGAGATCTGTGGAGATCTCATCATGGGGTCACCAGACTGCTATTGCTTTGAGCTCCCCTTAAGCGTAACAGATGATGGTTTTTAAGTTAGCTAAGAGAGAAGGCTGCTGCCTTCAACGTGGCAGATTTACCTAGCTGAAATACAGCGCTCTCTTCAAAATGAGTCCTAAGGCAGTGAACCAGAGAAACCATAGCACCTTGTAGCAAATGCAGAAAACACAGGTGTGGCTGTGGAGAATACCAGGTGAGAGCCTCACATCCAGTGCCTCAAAATTGCCAGCTTGCATTTTCAGCAGAATTGTTTTTAAATAGCTGAAGAGAGAGACTTCATCACACGTTCTGAACTTCAACATTGAGTCAGACAGACATAGGCACAGCTTGGAAGAATAACTGAATATTCTATAGAGCTCAGTACAGATATTGTCAAAGTCCAGAAGTGAAGTCCAGTGGCCTACAAGAGAGATGAAATGTGACATCTATGAAAGGATCAGGAGCCCTGCATCCCTGAAGATCCAGTTATCAAATCAGGTATCGCTAGTTTGATTTACAGTACTTTTTAATGTGTTGCAATACCAGAGTGGCCTCCTCTCTGGCAGAGCGTAACACCTTCTCCATCCAATTAGTGCCAGGTGGCATCTACCTTGCTCCCAACCTTTTCATTCTAACTTTTGCATACAGAAAATCACGGAATACATTGTTACCCCTTCTAATCATGCCACATTTGCTTTCTGCAGGTGAACGGCCTTTTGAATGCAACTGGCAAGGATGCAACAAGAAGTTTGCCCGCTCCGACGAGCTGGCCCGCCATTACCGCACTCACACTGGAGAAAAGAAGTTCAGCTGTCCTCTCTGTGAGAAACGCTTCATGCGCAGTGACCACCTGACGAAGCATGCCCGTCGCCACGCCAATTTCCACCCCAGCATGCTCAAGAGGCGCAGTGGAAGCAGCTCCAGAACAGGGTCTGTCAGTGACTACAGCCGCTCAGATGCCTCCAGTCCGACGATGAGCCCCGCCAGCTCCCCATAGACCTACCTGCACTGGATGTCAGCACTTTGCTTCTAATACCTAACGTGGAGTTTTCTTGTGTTGCACACATTTAAAAAACTCTGCCGCTTCCCCTCTTCAGTTCCCCCCCTCCGTTTTTTTTATTAAAAAAATCAGTAAATAGCTGCCTCCCACTGCAATTTCCAGTCAAATATTCTTTACCCAACCACACAAGTGGCTATTCTAACCTCATGGACAGACTTACACTTTCCTCATAGTGACTCCTGCTGTCTCAATAATTCATACATTTTGCAACAATTTACAGACCCTCTTGATTATTCTTTATAAGAAAATGAGAAAATCTAAAAAAAAAGAAAAGAAAAAACCCCATCTAATTCACCTCAGGTGTCAAACTAGTTTTGTAAGACCAGATTGCACAACATGAACATATGTACACTTACAAATCAAATGTGTTGGATTGTGTCCCCCTTCTCCTTTCTCAGGGATGGATATTTATGTTACACAATAATTACAATGAAGACACACCCTAACCGCAGCCTTACTCTGTAAATATATTTGCACTCAGAAGCTTTTTGTTAGGTTCTTTCACACACTGGGGAAAAGTAAAAAACAAACAAACAATACAAAAACCAAACCAGTACTGGAATGAAGTACCAGACACTTCCACTGTTTGTTTTCCTGATTACATACCTACATTGGGGAGCGTCCAAACAGGACTCTTGTCTTTCTTCAAGCTGCCCTCTGCTTTTGGTAGCAAGCTGTCATTTCACTTCATGCTGAAGATGCTCCAAAACCAACATCCTATTGCAAAAATCTCTGTGAGGTTGATAAACTTGTTTGTTTGTTTCATGCTAGATAAAATTATGAGAAAAAAAATTCTAAACAAGATGCCTTAAGTAAATAACCTAAATCATGAAGAAACATTTACACTGGGTAACATTTTATGGCAAAGTGGCATGGAATCTCGGAGGCATTCTGTTGTCGCTTTCTCCAAGTTGTTAAGCTCTGCACTGCCTGTTCAGTATGGGACCAACAGAATATTCAAATCAAACCACACTGACTTGAACAGTTTTCTTTATTCCTTTTTTCTTTCTTTCTATTTTTTTCTTTTTAATGAACTATGGAAATACCGTAGCTGAACCAATGCCCACCAAACCTTTATCAATGTACTTACCTACTGTACAGCTGTATCTTAGCAAGAAAATTGGCTAAGACAGTTTCTGTATCCTATTGCATCACAATCGTGGTTTCTGATAAATGGAAGCAAAAATCATAAGGTATCTTCTGACTGGAAAAATAAAATACGCATTTTTAAGTTTTAAAATGAAATTACATTTTAGCTCAGCACTACTACAAGTTTATCAAAAACACACATACCAGCCTGAAGTAAGGTGCTCTTATTTCTGAGTAACTCCTTAGCAACAAAAAGGGAATCTTGGCTAGTTTTCAATAACTTCTAAATATTTGACACTAGATAGAGCACTAGGAGATAGATTTTTATGTTTTCTATGGTAGAAAATACAGCAAAAGACCAGGTGCATTGTGATATATTGGAGACCTCATTGGCAGCAAATACAGTTTCCTTGGTTTGGCTGGGTCTGATGGTGCATAGTATAAATTCAGGTCCTTTTGATTCTGGATTTTTTTGGGTTTTCTTGTTTTTTACTGTAGGGTATAAATGCAGTTAAGTGTAGCATGGTGAAAAGAAACTCTCTGCGAAACCAGCCATTTGATAGCAAGTGAATGCCTCCACATTCCAAATGAACTTGTATCTTACTTGCTGCTTTGCATCGATCCAATTTTTCAAGTTTTTATTGTACTGTATATTGTGAGAGGCTAATATAGATTTCCAAGTAGTTTCATGGGTACTTCCACAATATATACATTATTCTTAATACTATGCATTCTATTAGTTGTGTGGATAAATACTTAAAGACAGTTCAAAGTGCAGATATTTCAGCATTTTTTTCATGTTCATTTGCTTCAGTTTTCGTGTCTATTAAATCACCATGCTCCCTTTTTGAATTGAAGTCATGCGAGGCACAATTCTACTGTTTCATTTCAGAGAAAATGAAAAAACATCATATGGGTTTTTAGCAAGACAACAAATATTGTTGAATTTGTGTGATAAGTTGCCTAACCACTGGGAGTTAGGGGAAAGCCAGATCTCTTTGATCTCTTTGCCTCCATAGATTTCTGCCTTTTTTTTTTTTAAATCTCATGTACTGAGATACACAATTTTAACAACTTGATACAATTCAGGTAACAGGAATTCACATTTCAATCATTTCAGTGACTGCTAAAAGTGCTCTTGTGCTGTAGTAAGTAAAGAGGCCTTTAAGTTATCTAGCTAAAGGAATTCTACAGGTCAGCTGTGTCATGTGCACATTCTTCTAAACAAGTTATAAATGCATTTCTCATTTCTACTTTAATAGAGGGATAAAGGGGGGAACAAATCAAGAGGAAAACTAAGTTTCAGCAAAAATCATAGGCTTCATGTTCTAAGCTCAGTTAGTTGTAGAATCATCTTTTCCAACAAGAACATAATTTAATCTTTAGCAAAGGATTCCATTTGTTTAGGGCATAATAATTCACGATGAATCAGTAGCTACATTACAAACAAGTTGTTTTAATGGCCTGGAGAAAGAATATTTGCACCAGGTTCTATCAGTCCTGAGATTAGGGAATATAAAGACTATGGGACATCTATTCTGAATTAAATAAGTATGTAAGCTTTAACATAAATAAGTAAACTAAGCATTTAATATATATTCCTCATAGATATCACTAATAATTCTCCAAGTTTAAGCAGAAAAAAAATTGGTTCAAATTCAAATTTCAAGTTCAGCCAGTTATCTCATGAGTAGGTGAGGAGACAATATACAGTCAACATAGCTACACTTTCAGGAAATTCTCTGAAATTTGTTGTTTAAACTTTTTTTTTTCTTTTTTTACAACCTAGCTGTAAATACCTCAGTGTGTTAGGCTGACAGTCAAATTACTGTGTTTTAAAATCCTAACAAGAGTTTAAAATATCTCCATTAAATGTTCAATACATGATAGCTTTAGGATAGAACTCCAAACCACTAGTATTTTCCAAAATTGAATGTGAACAAAACTTATTTTAATATTTTCATATGAAAAGAGAGTGAGTGGGGATTTCTGGCATCTGCAAGATGCTAGAAAAGAAGCAGAGCACCAGCAAGGTCATAAGACTCCATTCTCTTGTTGGTTCCTCCTGAATTTTGCAGATCTGAGAAGTCTGAGTAGCTCAAATTATATTCTGAAATCTGGGTGCCTATCCAAGATGTCCTCAGATCTTTACCTTTTCCTTGTTTTACCCAGTGGTGTAACCGTTGGCGTAGCAACGAACACTGCACACTCGGGAACTACTGCTCTGGCAAGGTGCAGGTTTCTCCACAGCCCTCCATTTGGAGGAGTGTCAGTCTCTCCTCCTGCCTCCTCCTTCCCTGTTGAGGTGAATCCCCACAAACTACAAAATTGCCCTAATTTTCTTTTTTCTTTTCATTTCAGAATATAATAGCAGGTTTATTATTACTAAGACAGCCCTGAAAGTTTGTTTGTTTTTCTGCAGCCATGATTCTAGCTTCCTCTCCAGGAGCTGAGCTTAACTGCCTTGCTATAGGAAACGGGTGCAAGTTAAAACCATCACTTCACTGCCACCACTCAACTGAAACTAAGGACGCTCTTGGAAACTTCTTCCCTCTTGCCATTAACCTCATCCTGTGCAAAGGCCTGAGGTGCATTAATGGCCACATGAATTCAGTTTTCATTCTGCTTCTTAGAAAGCAGTCCTGGTAAACTCCTGGCAGCTAGATTTAATTGTGAAAATTGTATCTGCAAATAAGTTTTTCCTTGCTTTTATAATATTTGCATAGTATCTGTTTACATTACATAACTGCAAAGATATATATATTTATAACAAGTCATCAGATGCCTTTGTTTGATGGCAACACCAAAATCCTGTATTTAGCCTACCCTCTTTACTGCATTAACCCTTGTGATAACGTTTAGCTACAAGAAGGCTCTGTACACCTTTGAAACCTCCTGACCTACTCTCCAGACACAGCGCTTTCCCTGTTTCATGCAGCCAGGCAGCAGAAGGAGCTTACCTGAGGAGCTTACCTGTTTCTAGCTATTCACATTCACAACTGCTTTTCTCCAGTTCTTTGTCATGAGCTCTAGAATTTGTGCTGTGTGAAGCGCGTTGTTATTTGGGGAACATGGTTTGTGAAGAAAGAATAAGGAAAATGAACTCTGCATACTTAAAGCTTGCCTTTTCATTGCCACTTGATTTACTAATTTCATCAGGTGATGCCTACAAACTGACTTTCAGGTGCTCGTTTACTCCATCACACCATCTGTTTGTGCATTGGGTGCTAACATATAGTCTATGTCAGTGAATGGTATGGTGAACGTCTGTATTTTTAACTCTTTTGGGGATAAATCCATAGCCTTAGGCAGAATAAAATAACTGAATTATACTTGTTTATCCCATAAGCCAGAATATAGAATGCAAAAGCCCATCCACTGGTATAGGTTTTATATATATGTATATATATTTATATATATGGATTTATAGAATCATGTGCACATATATATAAATACGTATATGTGTATATTGTATAGTACTTGTGTATATACATAAATACACCCCAGTGTGTATATACTACACACTGAATAATGAAGGGATGTCTACAGAGCAAAAATAGGTATCCATTTCATTGTAACTAGTGATGGGTCTGAACCAAAATGCATTTGGAAAGTTTGAAAGTGTTTTTTGAGATCATTTGAGGTTGAGTTTCATCTCTGGTTATAGCTGCAGTTACTTGTGGATATATGCATCCTGGGGGACGTGTGTGTGTGCACACATGTGCTTTTTCACAAGCGCTTGCCCGTGTGGGTGACAGAGGATATGTGTGCCAGTAAGTGTCTGCGTGTTTACATATAGACTTCCAGCTTTGGTGAACTATAATGTTACTGGTGTCATCTTCACCTGTAGAGTTTTATCAGCAGCACATGAATGCTTCCATGGGTCACTTCTCAACTCTTTAAATCACTACATTGAAGTATTACAGTTGTACAGTTATATGTTCATCTATTCTTGCTCTGCTGTAACTTTTTATGTATTTTGTACTGCATAGATTATATATTGTGATAATGTCCTATGCAACAACAATAAAAATGGGAAAAAAAAGGAAAAAGGAAGAAAATTAACAACTGTAAAATATCGTCTTAACTTGTATGCATGGTTAGTGACGTTTACATTTTCCAAAATAAAACTTATAACTATGAAATGTTGGGTTTCCCTTAATTTTCTTGTCTATGTATCAGTTAAAAAGCATCAGTTGTTAATATTTCTGCACTTCATTTGAGGCTTGATATCTTGTTTCATATCTTTATTTAAATTTCACCCAGTGCTGCTCTTTAAAGTGGGACTTTTTTTTAATCATTAGGAGAAAATTTCTGTGATGTTTGTTTTGTACTCCCCTCTGCTTTAACCGGTATTTTATAGTTGCATAGTGAAATTCCTTTCTCAAAGCTGGCATATACTGTGTTTTTCTTTAGAATTAGTATGCGTGACTTAGAGAGTCAGCCATCCTTTCTTTCAAAGCCCAATTCTTTGCAAATGTCTGATATCATCTCCACAAGTGGCAATGTCATGTCAACAGAGCAGTAACTTAATCTCACAGCACCCTGAAATGTTCTTTCCTAATTTTAGAGATGAGGAAGTTGAAACACAAGAGATTTAAATGACTTTCTTGAAGACATGAGGCAGTGGCAGATGTATGCCTTTATCCTCCTTTGAAAGTAACACCATACCCCCAGGAAAACAATTTTGTGCTCTATAATGAATATCTGTCTATAGGACATTATCACTGATTGCAAAAATAATTTAAAACAGTGGACTGCTGTTGAAAGATGAAAGCTAAAATATCCTTACTAAGCTAAGGGCAATTATGGGAATTACTTTAAAATTAGTACATTTTCTTGTGTAGGGGTCATGAAAACCATTCAGAGCAAATAACTTGGAGAGCCATTATCTATAAAAGCAGGTTTCCCCATGTGTTCATTACAGTGTTGAGCTGTCAGTGCTATTCATTATCTCTGACCACGTAGCAGTTTGCTTGGACATCTCAATGTGTCTGTGACCAACTGCTGGTTTATATTGTACACAGAGGAACTAGCTAAATCACAAAAATGCTTAACCATGCTAATGCAGTATTTAAGGGCTTGTTATCTGAGCATAACATACTCTTTTTGCATGCAGTGGATAGCCCTGTCCCATTATTAGTGAACCCTCACTGGAGGAGAAGACAAAATGCTTCTGCCCAGCAGAAAACCACAGGTTTGTTTCATTCTCTTCTCCTAACATTAGCATGATGTGGCCTCTCACTGCTTCTTCTCAATGTCTGTGTTATAACTGGGAAATCCCAGGCAGAGGACTCTCAAGCATTCAGGTTGTGAGAATTCTCAGGCAAAAACCCTGGTGAACCACCTAAAAATACCTGAGTTGGCATTTCTTTGTGTATCTCTCTGTTGAACTTGCATTTACTTCCACTGAAGTAACTAACATCACCCTTCCCCTGGCAGGCTTTCCCTTAACGCTTCCCCAGATGTCCTCTCATCCTATTCACAGTTCTCAGTTCAATTCTTGCCCTTCAACAGACAGGTTAGGCAGCTGCTTTAGAAGTCCCCTTGCTTTTTGCTAGTTTGTTCTGGGTGGAAGGATGTGACATGTCTAACCTCTGCCACTACCCAGTTTTTCAGCCACTTGCTCTATCTGAATTCACTGACTTCTTGCTTCTCTTTTCTGTGAAGGAATGAGTCTTACGTTTCTTGAAAATACAGGTTACACAACACTTCTAGGGACATGTAAGTACATCCTACATGAAGGACCCACCTCATGTTTGATAACTGAAGATTGTTTTCTAAACTTTCTAGAAGAATGAAAAGAGAAACAAATCCTTCTAAAGGATATGCCTTTTCAGTTTAAGTATGGAGTTGTTGCCTTGGTTCTGTAACGTTATGTGCCTCCCCGCCCAGACACCCACACTCTGAAACGTGTATGTTAACACATTCTCATCTGCAAGAGAAACTTCTCCTCTCAGATTGCTAAATGTATGGGTTTCTGTCTTGCCTGTGACTCAGCATTTGCCACGAAATGTTCAGAGACTTGGCAGTCGTCCATCAGTTCAGAAGAGAAGCGATAATACTGCTAGAATTAGAATGGGATTTTCCTTTTTACGTTTACCTGTGTATCATTTCTGGCTTCAAAGTAGTCCACCTGAAGGTGCATTGCCCCAGCTTTTCAAGGAACCACACCCACGGCATGCTTTTCTAGTGGATCACAAGAGAGTAAAGTGACATAAATACAAATACACAGTCATTAGAAACAGAGAGGAAAGTGAGAGAAGATGGAGGTTGAAATAAAGAAGAGGTGGGGACAATGAGATGAGCCGGGTGTTTCTAGCAGCTGAGCAGAAAGGCTCATACAGCACTAGAATCAGTGTGGGGCTTCCTAAAGAATTTCAGAGCAAGCAAGTCAGGCAGCATCTCCAAAGGTGACCTGAGACAGTAGCATCTTTTCTAAGAGCCGTAGAGGAGGGAGCTAAGTCAAACAGCGATTCAAGCAGACAAAAGCACGTGTCTAGCCAGCTACAGTGTGTTGCTGGCACAGCTAAGAGTATAAAGAGAGGGAGGGATTATTTTAATTGATTTCTCAATCCATGCACCAGACAAGGGAGGGGAGTCTGGATGCCCAGACATCTGAGCAGGAAGAGGGGAAGAGGGAAGCATGAATGAACACTGGCTTTGGGAGCCAGATTTGTGCTTTGGGCAACTCAGAGAACAAGATTGCTTTAAACAAGTCTAGAAGGGGGGGAAAAAAAAAAAAAAAAAGCAAAGAAAAGAGATCTGAGACAGCCTGAGTGGGGTTTTAGGCAAGAACAGGCCTCAAAGGTGTGCTAACAAAACCTAAATGCTGAGCTTAGTTGTAACTCCACCTCACCAAGAGAGAACAGCTCTCGAGTATAATTGCTGCCTCATCTAAATTGTAAATAAAAGATTAACCTGTCCTACCTGGTTGGCGCTGGCAGGAGGTAGATTCAGCCTTCGGGTCCCACTGGCTGGAGCAAGTGTTGAAGAGGGGAAGAGGGGCTGGGCGAAGGGAGGCTCTGAGACACCGTCGCTGGCAGGTCACTGCTGAGCCAAGGGTTCTCTCTGCAGCACCGGAGGAAGGTGCCTCCTGGCAGAGCATGCAGTGGGACCCTGCCGCACCAGTGCGTGCAAGGTCACTCCAGAGGGTCGCAAAGGCTGACAGTGGCCAGGCCAGCTGCTGGAGAGGTGGCCCAAGTGTGGTTCCCAAGGCCTACCCAGTACGTACATCTCCCGGAGGGAAGGTGCAGGGTGCTGAGTGGGTGGATGAGAGAACACCACCGAGAAAAAAGGCTCGGATGAAGGATGAGAGAGATGGTCCTGTGAGAGAGAGGGTTGCAGGGGTACGGCAGCATCATGAGAGGAACCAGATGAAAAAATGTGGGAAACAGAGATAAAAGGTGCAATAAATGGGTAAGGTGACGTAAAGAGGGGGAAGATAAGTAAAGAAAAATGAGAAAGGAGTATGGAGTAGAGCAATTTTATGTCATTTTCTGGAGAGAAAAAGAAAGGCCTAAGGTGCAAAATCCAAAAGGGGGTTTAGAGGAAGAAATAAGATAGCTCACGTGGTAGCATTTCCAACAGACTAGAAGGTAAGGTATGTCAGTGTGTAATAAACAGGGCTGTGTGTCTTTAAGAGACTGATGTTTGTGTTTTCCCATGCTCTCCTATTGTGGAAATAACTTTCTGAGTCATTTCTCTGATCCTGGAGACAAACTGAACAGACACAAAACATAACAAAACACAATAGCAACGGGAAGAGAGAAATTCCTCCCTCCCCCTCCCAGCACACACGCATTTTACGTCAGCGATCTGAACGCACCCAAACCTCCGAGTGGAAGAGGAACAAGGCGCAGGCGAGAGTATGTTTGGTACAGACTTTGTGAGTCAAGTTCACTTCTCCACTGCATAAACAGTTAAAAGATGAAAGCCACACTTCCCCAGCCTGTTACTCTTAAATATGTTATCCAGTCTCTTTGGTTAAAAGTCTCACCTTCCAGATTTTCCACAGACAGCGAACTACAACAGGAATTTGCTAGCTTTTATAAACTTCAAAGCTTTGCACTTCAAAGACCCTGCAATTTTTCTCTCAAGCCTCGTGCCCCACCCTCTGCAAAAAAGATGTCGGTTTGGGACTCTCTCTCAAAATGTCACATTCGGGAGCTCACATACATCTGAAAATCAGCCTCACAACTGTGACCTTCCCCGTAAGGAGTGGAGATGGGCACCCCCCACAAGCGTATCGAGACTTTCTACACCAAAACACAGACTCACCACTGGTCAGACCCGAGAGGAGCCCATTTGCTCTGTTTCTTCCTTCAGCCTCTATTACTGGGCTAAGAACTGTCTCAAACCCTTTGATATTACAGACAGTAAGGTCCTACTGCAGGGCCATACAGGTTTGGTGTAATATGCAACCTTTCTGGAACTTGTAAAACAAATCCCAGGCTTTCCCACTGTGGGGCTGTGGTACAGACTGCCCTTCACAGCCCGCTGGGAGGAACAGGATGAATGGGGAGGCAGAGGGAGAAGAGAGTTTAGCTCAGAGCTGGCAGTGCCTCCCCTGTGGGTGCAGCAGGCGTGGGCTGGCGGCAGGAGGTTGGCAGGTCCCCCAGCAGACATGACCCACATCCACCTTCCTCCCCGCGGGAGAGGAGCTGCTCCCGGGGCTGAGGGGGTGGGAGCAGCCCCAGCCTTTCCCAGAGAGTTTGCAGCTTTCCCTGAGGACTGGGTTGGGGATGGTTTCCCCTTAACGTGCCCTCGCCAGCAGCTGCTCTGAGGAACCCGGGTGAGCCAGCGAGAGGCCAGCCCGAGAAACAGGAACCGTGTGGAGGGTGGGACTGCACAAACAACAAGGCTGGGTGAATAAATCAGGCCTGGCTGTTGGCTTCCCTGTAAGAAACCTTCCATTAAGGCTCCACTGGGTATTTTTGGACTCCACCTGTCTATTTTTAGGAAGGATAATTAATGCCAAAGGAAATGAGGAAAAAAAAAATAATCAAGCTTTAAGTCCAAGAATGGAAAATTTGGTATTCTCCACAAAATCACTATGATTAAAATCACGAGGATTAAAAAGGAAGAATTACATGTCGGGAGTAAAAATAAGCTACAAGTCGCTGTAAAAATTGCATGTTACATG